AAAATTTTATTTGAGGGTACAATTATTATGTATGCAATAGTATCTTCAGGGGGCTGGTAGCATGGTTAGAGCATTGGGCCTGGAGTCAGGAAGACCTAAGTTCAAATCCAGCCTTAGATGCTTACTAGTTGTGTGACCCTTGGGAAGTCGCTTAACCTCTGTTTGCCTTAATTCACTGGAGAAGGAAATGGCTAACCACTCCAGTATTTTTGCCAAGAAAACCTCATGGACAGTATTGGCATACTATGGTCCGTGGGGTCCCAAAGAGTTGGACACAACTAAATAACTGAGCAACAACAAGTAGTATCTTTCAATATTGTTGAGAAGTGTACAACTTCTTCTACATTGAATGGCTCCAGAATGTTGGGCTTTTATGATCTGGGGGATTTTGTTCATTTTTTTTTCAGTCTCTTGTCTTGCTGTCAGTCCTTATTTTTATTTTTTTTTTATATTTTCTTTGCTATTGTGAGGGGTTCTTTTGTTTAGCATTTTTATGTCATTGTCCTCTCTCTCCTAATCTATTGCTTTTGACATATTGTTAGTTTGAAAAAAGATTCATGCTTTTGTCCATCTTTTTTACATACTTTGACAGAATTTTGTGTAAAACCAAATTTAATAGTGAGAACCAATGCTTTGGAACAGATATTTTGGAGACCCTGCTGCCTCTTTCTTTTATCTTCTGAATGAAGGCTCTTATCTCCCAGCAACTCAAAATAATATTCAAGAAGAGATTCCTCAATAAAACTCATGGTCTAAGATATCTATATATGAATGCCAAAAAATATTCCAAATAAGTGAGGTGGAATAGAGACTTTAGTTGTAAGATCAATGTAGAATGACATTGAATATTCATAGGGTATAATCCTATGAGGACATCCAGGAACACAAGGGGGGAAATATGGAGAGAATTTGGATGACATACAGTTGAAGGAGAAACAGAAGCAATGTTGGTGCAGTGATGTACTTTAGACTGCTGGGACAGAAAGAGGAATTAGATAAGAGATTTAGCATTAAAGCATGATATTTTGATGACTGGGAAAACCAACCATCCAGACATTTGCTGGAAACTTCTTTATGCTAAAGCAGAATAGCTGATGATTCTGTGAATTTCTTTAACAATAATTTCAGTCTTCAGATGGTGAAGTAAGTTACTAAAGAAACCATTCTCGATCTAGTTTTGACCAAGTAGGAAGAAGTAATTGCTAAAGAAACAGCGAATGGTTCTCCCTTTGCAGTCAAGTGACTCTTCAGCCGTAGAATTCTTGTTTAAAAAAAAAAAAAGGAGCAGAAAGCCAGGCATAGATGAAGTGTTCTCTAGAATTGGTGGGGGATGTAGTATTCATAGGAAGGGATAGGTAGGGTCCCATGGGCCAGAAATCTGCACGGGAAGCTCTTGCAATGAGGACTAAAAGAGGCAGCTGCTTAAAGATGCCAATGTGACTGCACAATGACAAAACTTTATTTAAAAAAGACCTATGTAGAAAATAAAATTAAAGACAAGTTTCAGAGGATGCATACAAAATATTAATATGGTTCTCTGAGAAGAGCATCAGGACCATTAAAAACTCAATGAACTGAGTCTGTTGATGAACGCCCAGAATGACAAAAAGGACTTTTTCTTCAGTGTTGGGAATGAGGAGTATCAAAACTACTATTCCAAATTCCTCCATTTGCCCTGGCAGGTTGGGTCCCCAAATGACTGCTGGTAGCTTATTACCTCAGTGGTCTAGGGGTAACCCTGAGGGCTTAGAGGTAGTTTTCTAAAAATATAGATCATGAGCCCCTACCTGTGTATTTTTCCCAATAATTATCAGTTAATGGTTAATATCATTTAGTCACCTAGATGTAATTGGCTTTTAGAAGTGAGTGTTTACTAAGGTAATATAATAAAAATAATTAGTAAGAAACATCCCCCAGAACTGAAGGCATACTATCCCATAAGTAAACTAGAGTCCATAGGAAAGTGAGTTCAAGCTTAGAGGAATGTGTGACAAAGGGAGTGACTCATATCCTTTTTAAATGGAAGTTGTATTCTCCTTTTGGGATGTCCTTATGATGTTCTCCTTAGGTGTGATGTACCTTTCTGCTGGGCTTCTTGTAAATTCTTGAAACTGCTTTCCTTAGAATATCCAGTTTGTCTTCACCTCTTGATGCAAACAATTCCATCAGCCACTGACCTTCTGTGGACCCTGCTAAGACAACAATGAATAGTCCAAAATCTTCCAACATTTTGAAGTTTACAAAGTTATCTGCTATGCATAATGGGAATATTCTCCTCTTCTCAAAGGATTCCTTCTCAGTGGCTTGGCTGCAACTGCTTCTACCACTGAGCTGACCTGCCACTCAAATGCTGGATTCCTTACCAGCTTGCTATTTTATACAGTATTGACAGGGCATGATTGAGTAACATAAGCCAATCCCAATGCACTTCCTGTGGAGCATCATTTCCTTTCAATGAATGGCTTTTACTCTTTCTAAATGGATCAAGTTCTTTTTGCAATTTGTTTAATGCCTTTCAATCCACTGAAATATTCTCCCCTTGATTTAATTAAATTGCTTTAAGTTTAGTGGGGTGATTTATTGATTTAATCGACCCCCACCCTAAGAAAAGAAAGGCTAGGACCATGTCTTGGATGGTGAAAAATCATCTCTATTCTTCAATTCTTATTTTGTTTGTTTTCTCTTCTCAATAGGATTATTTTTGAATTGGGAATGACAGAAATGGTTTACAGAGAGTTGAACTGAAGATTAAGTAAGAATATTGTAAGAAAACACTTTTCTGTTCACAGTGAATTTGAATCACTAGTCCCAAATGAACTGTATTTTAGGTTATTGAAGGAACTGTTTGGTGTTATTTCTGAGCTGATAACTGTGATTTTTGAAAGATTCTTGAAACCGGGATAGTTGTTACAGAACTGGTAAAGAATAAATGTTCCAATTTTCTGAAATGGCCAGAAAGTGAAGTCATAACCTCTTTTAGCCTCGGTTTCCTTATTCATAAAATGGAGATCATAATAGTACCTACTTCTCCTAGTGTTGTTGTGAGGATCAAATGAGTTAATAATTGTAAAGTGCTTAACACAGTACATGGAACATAGTGAGTGCTATATAAATGTTAGATATTTTTATTATTATTAAAAGTATAAGTTGTTGACCTTGACTTCTAGTCCTGGAAAAGTTCTAGAACCTTATATGAAAGAGGTGGTTTGTGACCATTTAAAAGGGGAAGCATTCTTCACAAAAAGCCACCATGTTGGTTTTTTGTTTTTTTAAATTAAGAGCAAACCATGCCACAGTAACCCAATTACCTGTTTTGTTTTGTTGTGTTGTGTTTTGCTTTTTTGGAATTTTTTGATAAGTAAATTGGTAGATCAGGGGAATGCTATCGACATAATAAACTTTAGCAAAGTATTTGACAGGATCTTTTTAACCTTGTGGACAAGGTGGAAATAAAGGATTAAACACTTGATGGATTCTTAAAAGGTTAAATAGCTGGATCCAAAGAGTAGTCATTAATGGATTGATATAAAGTGAGGTATCCCGAGTTTCTGTTCTTGGCTTTGTGCTCATCAAGTGATTTGTCAGTGATAAAATAAAGTTAAATTTTGACAAATCTTAGATGATGCAGTGGATAGAACACTGGGCCTGAAGTCAGGAAGACTCATCTTCCTGAGTTCAAATCTGGCCTCAGACACTAGTTGCATTCAGTTTCCTCATCTGTAAAAATGAACTGGAGAAGGAGATGCAAACCATTCCAGTATCCTTGCCAAGAAAACCCCAAATAGGGTAACAAAGAGTCAGACATGACTTCAAACATGACTAAAAAACAAGTAAACACCAACAATATCACCTTTACAGATGATACAAAGCTGGGAAAGATAGCTAATATGATAGTCATGATCCAAAAAAACTCAACAGGTGAAATCAAGTGAAGATAAATGTAATGTTCTATACTCAAGTTCAAATTAAGTTAATATCAATATATATTGAATTGAACAAGCTACATTAAAAGAGAAATAATTTATAAAACAATGGCATCAGTAGTCCCTCTGTTCTATGCCCTAATTGGACCAAATCTAGAGTGTAGTGTTCAGTTTTAGGTGTTACATTTTAGGAAAATCATAGATAATAGGGAAGTTGGGGCCATATTATATAATAGGCGCTATAGGTACTGTGTCTATGAGCTACAAAAACTAAAAGACATATAAAAAAATTTGACTTTAAAAATGTCCTGATAAAAATGTTTTTAAAAAGACTCTTCTTTAATAAATATGTAAGAATTAGAATTATTTAAAAATGGCCTGGGGCACATGCTGTGTGACAACTTGCTAATGATATTGTAGAATGTATTCTTCATTAGATGTCAATTGAGCTGAATGCTGAGGTCTTGGAAGTCTGATTTTTGGATAACTGGGCCATTACTCTACGTAAATAAAGGAATCAGTATACATGGCTTTTGTATTTTAGAAACTATTTCTTATTCCCATCATGGATGGAGAAATTGAAAGAAAATAATCACCTCTTTTCCATTTAACTGTGCAAATCACAGAATCTATTACTCATCTGATGTATGTATGCCATCATGTTGACAGCAAAAACATTTTCCAAGTGCTGTTCAGTTTCAGTCATGTCTGACTCTTCATGATCCCATTTGGGGTCTTCTTGGCAAAGATACTGTAGTGCCTTACCATTTCCTTCTCTAGCTGATTTTACAAATGAGGAACTGAGGCAAATAGGATTAAGTGACTTGCCCTAGGTCACCCAGCTAGTAAGTGTCTGAGGCCAAATTTGAACTCAGGAGGTTGAGTCTTCCTCATTCCAAGTATCCATTGGGCCACCAAGCTGACAGCAAAAACATTTTCAAAGCACAATACTTTAAATCCGGTGCTTTGTTTTCTCTAAGAAATGGAAATCAAACATTGCGTGGAAAGCAAATAGTAGGTAAAAGTGGGTTTTTTTAAAATATTTTTTCCTGAATATATTTGCAATTTTCTTTACAGAGATGTAATGATGAATATAACAAATGGAAAACTTACAGAGCATGAGATTATGACAATTGGACGTTACTATAGTGTGAGAGAAGACTCTGATGCTGATCTGACTTTCCTTCTTGCACTTGCTCAAGAGCAATTGAAAAAATACACCTTTGAGGTTTTTGACAAAATGATTGCCATGTGCATATACAAGGATCAGGCCAAGTAAGTCTTAGTAGTTTATCCATGTGTTTTTTTTTGTTTGTTTTGTTTTGTTTGTTTGTTTTGCTTTGTTTTTAGGCAATTGGGGTTAAGTGACTTGCCCAGGGTCATACAGCTAGTAAGTGTCAAATGTTTGGTCTGAGGCCTCATTTGAACTCAGTTCCTCCTGACTTCAGGGCCGGTCCTCTATCCACTGGGCCACCTAGTTGCCCCCTAGTTTATCCATGTTAATTGATATTTTAAATTTCTCTTAACCAGAATGAGAAAGGGATTCATTTTTTTTTAACATTTTTAACAGAGAATACTTAGCCCAAGACTGCAAGGAATAGCTTAAACCAATCTCAAGGAGAATTTATTAAAGAGTTTATTCTTTCATCAAATTCATGATTTTGTGTTTGTTGATGAAATACTTTGACTTCAAGGGAAGCTTGCTCTTCTCCTTGAATTTTCTTTTTATCTATTGCCAGCACTCTTATAATTACTTCATGAGCTAAGATTTCAACAAGATTAAGCAGCATGACATTTGCTACCTTTTAATATTATTTTATGCTATGTAATGACCAACTATTTTGACTTCCATCGTCAAAAGAACATTTGCTATTAAATTCTGTATAATTTTTCTTTGAAATTAATAGAGAGCAAATCAACAGTTTATGTTTCTGAATTTGAATTTAATAAAATTTCAGTATAATTCAATTATTAAGAAATGTTGGATTCAAAGCATCCAGGAAATTTTTAAACCTTTGAGGTAAACAAAATCAATCCAACTTTTTCCTTACAAAATTTGGTATCTTCCTATCTAGAACAAGGAAGAGAAAAAATTTTTTGTTATCATCTCATATCTCAGCTTATTAGCTACAAAGAAACTTCTCTGCTCCTCATTGGCTTCACTTTTGCCATTTGTTGGCAAAAAAGGCATAGGGTGGTCTAATGGCTCTCTCTACTACTGGTCATTTTAATAGAAATTGATCAGTTTGTTGCATTGACTAAGCCTTCTGAAAAAATCTGGTCAGCATTAAAGGCCTAATTATAGCTTCAGGTTTTATGGGATCAGGTCCAAAGAAAACACTCGGAAAAAACCTTTGGGTCATATCATACTAGATTCTTAGGTCCTTAATTACTTAGAGCAAGTCATATCATCCTAGATTCTTAGGTCTTTAATTAATTGTCAGATTTTTAAATAGTTTTACACATCTACCTGATGAGTGGGTAAGAGGGCAGATTTTGTAGAACAATCCTTGTGTCTACAACTTTAGTGGTCTGTCCTGCCAATAACAAAGAATCCCAAACATGGAAGAAAAAACCACTACAAGTTTAGAATTCAGCAGTTTTTTTAGTGGAAAAATTTGATGAAATGCAATATCATTATTTTTCATTTTATTGAGTCCTAATTCCAGTTTTTATAAGACTTCTTCAAAAAGCTTATTTTAGGACATATGCATATTTTATCATTTTTGTTATTTAGTTGTTACAAAAAGAAAACAAAGATACACTTCCCATTCTATTTGTGTTTGCTGCAGAATAGGATTATTGCCCAGTTCAGCTGTCAGGACTCTCTGCAAGTCCTTTAGGATGCCTGTGTCAGATGATCTTTTAAGAGCATTACTATCCAAGTAAGTGATACATCAAATGATACATAGTTTTTATGTACATTTCAAAGCATATTTGGAGTTGTATAAGTTCTTTTTTTTATAACATTAATCAGTATGTATTTAAATATCTGTGACTGTGCTATTATACTTTGATAATGTTTTGACTTCACCAGGATGGCACACATCCATCTGAGTATTCAATGGAAAAGTTGGACCCACTAACATGGGACAGAAGAGGAAGCTGGGCCTGTTTTAGGGGTTTTGTGGGAAGCTAATCCGTGGGGGACCAAGACAGAATAAGCAGGGGGTTAAGGAGGAAACTAGGAACACTAAGCCCGAGACTACAAGGAATAGCTTAAACCAATCACAAGACAAGTTGAACAAAATACAGGATATGGAGAGAGGGACAGCAAGCAGAGCAGGATGGACAAACGTTAAAAACCAGAGAGGTTGAATATGATAATAAGATCATAAATGATCATAGGTCTGCAGTTAGATGGGACCTCAGACACCATTGAGTTCATTCTTCCTCCTCTCATTCCCCTGTCCCTCCATGTCTCAGGTAAACATTTGCTTCTGCTAAAAGACAAGGTACAGTCTAGTGCCCAAAGCCTGAGTGTTTCTTCTGCTATTCTGTTCTCTTTTTTTCCAAGAGAAAGTTTTTAACAGAAATTCAGAATTGCAATATAATTTTAAATGGTCATAAATTGAGTAAAAGATTACAAAAGGGATGCAAGATGTTTACTCTGACCACTATATATCTGTGTATGTATACACACACATGCATGACACACGCAGCTAATTTTATATCCATACAAAGAAAAAAATAAGATCACTCCTTGATTAAAAGTGACTCTAGTCTAATAAAGCCAATATTGTGACTGATGATAGTGGGTCTCTTTCCCTCTGACATAGCTAAAGCATTTTTGCATTTAATTCTCAGCAGATACTCAGATTCCCATGCTAGTTAGAATCTGTACTGGAATTAAAAAAATATTTACTGAAACATGTGACACCTCTTTAAATACTCAAAAACAGAAATCATTCTCTCCTTCCCAGGTTTTCTCTTCTCCCAGCTAAACATCCCCAAGTCTTTTCATCCCATTAGTATCTCTAGGGACACTAAGGACTTCTTTAACTTACTGTGCATAAGAAAAGTGCTTTATAAGCTTTAAGGGGCTTATATAAATGTGAATTAGATTAATAAGTCATCATCTTCTCAACATGATTTTCTTTCTTCCTTTGCCTTAAGGCAGCAAGAATTTTATGAAATTTGGGACAAGTCATTAGAAGTTAGACAATGTCTGTTTCTGTCCCAAGTGGCTAGCTCCACAATGGCTAAGTGATGTACTTGTAGACATCTTTTGTTCCTATGGATCAGTCACCTAATTTCCTAGTCAAGTGAAAATACTGACTAACTGGATTTGAAAGATGTTTCTTTCCCAGTGCCTCACTATGACCTGGGTCACATGCTAGATAGATTCCATCATCTGAACAGATTCCTTTATTCCTTTGAAAGACTGTCTCAATTCCTAATGGAACAATTAGCCCATGACTCAAATTTATATAGTTAATTCTTATTTTCCCCAAAGGCTTCATAGCACCTTACAAAATTTTTGGCCAAAGTCAGGCTTTCCAGGGCACTCCTATGGAGCCCTTCCATGCCCTGAATCCCTTTTGAACTATGTGGTTTCTGGTGAAAGTCACAAGTATGGAGTTAGATGAGAGTTTGTTCAGTACAAACCATACCCTGGGGTAATGTCACCCTCCTGCAGAAGGGCAGACACCTCCCAAGATAAAGCAGGGGCAGCTGCTTAACAGCTGTATAGCAATGCTGTATGAGCTGAGAACAGGAAGTGAAACATCAATAAAAATGTCCAGAAACAGTAGGAACTTTCTCCACTTGGTTGCCACTCATATATTTTTCTTGACCTTGTACTTAGATATTTAAATTCTTCTACAATTTGGTTTCTAAGTCCTCGCTCAATCTAGTCAGAACCATCTCTTAGACTGTTAATACAACCCAAGATAGATAAGTCCATATAGGTTTTCCATGCCTGGTTACCTCCAATCAGCCTACATCATTTTCAGTAGAATAAGGTCACTTCCCTTGCTGAACAAATTCATTTCTCTAATGCAGTCAACTTTCAAGCACACTTAAATGATCTTTGTGGTGGTAGTAATTCTGCGTTAGTTACAAGAATGCCACTTATTATTGACATAATGCCAAGACTCCAGGATAATTCATAAATGCTTGAATACCATCATCAAACTAGATGATGGTGTGTATCCTTTCTTCCTTTTTCTTTTTCAAATCTTGATTGCCCAAGTTCAACTTTTTAGACGGATGCTTTTTGAAGGTACTACCATTGCTTTCTCCGCCCCCTTTCCTGACATTCCTGACATTTTTATTCATGACGTAATTAGGTGCAATAACAACCTACACTTGTTATCTTGTATATACTTATTAAAAAAGAGCAAGACCCACCTCCTCTCTCCCCCTCCCCCACCAATGATTCAGAAAAGATTTTTTTGCTATTCGTGAATACAGCAGTAGATCTCTAGGAGCAGATAGCTCTGGACTCCATCATGGGAAGTCTTGAGGATAAACGATGAGTTCATTTGCTCCTTCCTCTACTGAGTGGCAAAGGACATTTAATTTAATGTATATTGTCATCGATAAAGCCTGTTAAAGCACTTGATTGTTGAAAATATTGGCCCAAATAGAAGTAACCTTACTTTTCAAAGAGAAGTTTTTGAAAATACCAAAGTGTATACCCTATATTATGAGAAACCAAAGCACATCCCCACAAAAAAAAACCAAAACCCATAAACTCTCCTTGAAATCCTTATCTTCAATTCAACAGCAAATACTTAAGTGCCTAATATATGTCAAGCACTGTGCTAAGCCCTGGGAAACAGACGATCCTCTGAAAAGATCTTTTCTTTAGTATTTGCTTTTTGAGGCCTGCACTTTGGTTACTCATCCTTTAGATACCACTGTTCCCCTGGCAACCTCCTCCCAGCCTGTGTTTTTCTAACCACGTGGCTTCTATCAGCCGAGCTTACTCTGTAAAGGCAGGTGACTCCTCTAGAACAAAGCCTTCCATAATGGAAACGTGAATGTGGTTTTAAACAGGTTAACATGATTACACCAGGCTCTCTCAAGCCTTGTCACCTGCACCCTCTCAAAACTCTTTCTTGCTCCTCTTCCCTCTTGGGAGATATCTCACAGCAGCACTGCACAAGGTGTATTGGGAGCTGTTGCTATGGAAATGAGTAGTCATCACCACAGAGGAAGCTATGATTACCCTCCAGTACCTAAGATTCCCAAAACCCTTGCATCTCCTCTGCATGCATTCATTATCATGACTATAAGATGACCAGTATTTTATTATTTTCTTGCTGAAAAAACAAAACCTCACCTTATATTTGGACCAATACAGTATTTTATTTTCTCTGTGTTCCTCATTTGGCAATTGTGGTCTACTTTGCCATTGGAATTTGTGTGGAAAGTTGTTAAGATTCTGAGCTGGAATGCTCTGTAGCTCCTTGCTTTGGGGTATTTTGAGAACAGAGCCTTTTATGTAACCAAATTTAACTTGGCAATTTTGATAATGGATCTTGGCAATCCTTAGTTTCTGTGCTTAGCTATTCATGCTTTACAGGGAGAGGGGTTGGAATAGATGTCTTTCCAATTCTGTCATTCTATGATTCAATGGCCATGGTCCACAGTCTCCACTCTTCTTTTGTAGTTAAACTTCATGCATTTTACTGGATGGTTCAGTGTGTACCCCATTTTATTAGTAAATATGCCAAGAGAGGCCAAAACACATTTCGAAAAATAAATCTAGGTTTATGTGCATGCTATCATCATCCTTTGCGTCATGTATCCTGGGCCATTTCCTTAATTAAAGAAACCAGATTGGTTGGAGGATTCTTTTTTTGGAGTCAAGTTATCAACCCCTTCATTACATGCCAACCAGAATACGACTTTGCCCAGCAACCTCAAACCCAATCCTCCATCCCCCCAAAATGAAACAAAAGCTTTCTTGTTTCTACTAAGATGTAACCCCCTTTAGAGTAGGGACCATCTCATTTTCATCTTTATGTCTGCAGGACCTAGGACAAATTCAGTAAATGCGTTTTGAAGCATTGTGGTACACTTCCTTCACAAATTGGGTCCCCAGGAGAGGTACCTCAGACTCTGGGTACTCTATAGATCCACATCCAGTTATTAATGATAGCTCACAAGCCCCTATTGTTATGTTGACTTTTATTCTATTTAGCCAGAGGGTACAATTAGTTCAAAGCATTTAATGAAATGGGCAGCTAAGTGGCACAGTGGATAGGGTGCAGGGCCTGGAGTCAGGAAGATCTGAGTTAAAATCCAACCTCAAATACTTACTAGTTGTGTGACCTTGGGCAAGTCCCTTAACCCTGTTTGCCTCAGTTTCCTCCTCTGTAAAATGAGCTGGAGAAAGAAACGGCAAATCTCTCCAATATCTTTGCCCAGAAGGAAGAGTTGGACAAGACTCAAATGGCTGAACAACAACAATTTAATGAAATAACACAGAAAGATTTACAATAGAACATTCTCCCTATAAACCTTGTATACAGTCTCCCACCAGTATATGTCCCATCAGGAGGAGAGTGAGCGTGAACAGGGATCATGCACCAGGCACAGCTCGTATATATGATACTGCAAGAACCCTGATGTCTTCTGGTTATGTCATTGTGCTGTTTATACTGAGCCAGCTTCTTCTGGGGCTCAGCATCTCTACTGAGTGCAAGCTCTGCTGGTCTCTACTGATGCATTGCTTTGTTGGTCTTGGCATCTTTTTTCCGGGGCATTATTCCCTACTCCTGTCTTCAGGGTTCATTTCTTTAGGGCCAGAAAAGCCAGCTCAGCTGCTGTCTGCTGCAGTATAGTAGCACTCTCACTGATAAGGCTGGATAAGTTCTTTAGTCATAGTCACCAAGCCTCCCCCCCCCTAAAAAAAGTGAACAGAGTGCCTGTC